CGAGTGGCTCCGCGAGGTGGAGAGCGCGGCCGGCCGCGACCGCCTGCGCGCCCTGCCCCACCTGCGCGCCCTCTGAGCCCCCGCCCCGCTCGCTTGGGGGGTGACCGGAGCCGCGTTGGCTAAAACCAGCATCCCTGACTCACGGGCGATATGGTAATCCGCCGTCTTGAAACGAAAACTTCCCAGCTGAGCAAGGTAGAAGCCACGGTCAACACCCTGCCTGCAGTCGGACGCGGCCAGGTGACAAGCCTGCTTTGCCCGTTGTCCGCGCCTCCTTCGCGTGTTCTCCGAGCAGCCTGTCTCTGAAACGGACTGTTGTGCCCTGGGGGACGCTGCCATCTCTGAACTCCCCTGTGCAAGACGACGTTTCTTTTCTACCCGGGAGAGCTTTTACAGGCTTTGAATTCTCCCGTGCCTGGGCCCAAAAGCTCACAAAGAAAGAATTTTGGTTTTGCTACTATTTAGTTGGTCTAATAACAGATATTGCCTCTGCCACAAGAGTTTTGTTTGCCCTCCAGTGCTGGAGGGTTTCAACTCTGTGCTCCTAGGAAATCGTCGAGACCTGAGGAGCGATATCTGTCCACCTTGATCCCGGCTGCATTGCTGGCCCCATTAAAGCACCCTAAGAAGCCCTCGCCTCTCTCATCATTTCTGGCCCATCACAGACACAACAGTGGCTCTTTCGCTCCGTGCTCAAATAAGCGCTATGGTGAGGTGCAGCCAGGTCAAGTAGGGAGCAGAGTTGAGCTGAACCCTTCAGAGCTGCTCTGCACTGTCCGTGCCTGGGGTTGCAGAATTAACTACTTGTCTTACTGGAGTGCTTAGGGCCCCCTGTGCTTGAACTAAGCCCCTATCTGTTTCAGGGCACATAAAACAAGAGCGAGAGATGACGTTTCTGATTCAAGGAGCTTAAAACAGTGATGTTCCACCTTTTGGTCCAGCAGGTCAGACATGGGCCATGCGCCAGATCAGACCCTGCGCTCCAGCATTGGGTCCCATGCTGCTCCCCCGGTCGCATGCCAAGGGAGGGAGGGGGGCACACTGTCCTGTGTGCCCACCCTAGCACATAGGGCCATGGCCTGCCAGGCTCCCCACAAGTCTGTGGGGATCCCTGTGGGCTGGATGACATGGTGCCGGAGGCCAGATCTGGCCCATGGGCCAAGGGGTTGAGCAGCCCTGGCTTAAAGTATAAGAAAAAAATCTAATGGATGAACACTGATGAGAATGGGGGCTGTAAGGAAAATATGAGATAATATTAGTGTGATAGGCTGTTGGTGTGCTGATAATACTGTCTAACTACTGTCAAACCCTGAATGCCTGTACCTGTATTTAGAAAAAAATATCAATGTATATTTTTTGGTTAAACGGGGAAAAAATAGGCTTCTGTTCACAAAAAGTGTTTGTTTTAGTCCTCATTATTTTTTTTCTAAATTTTTTTTCAGAGATGTCAAGAGTTACTTGTTTCTAATGAACATATGATATTCCAATTTCTCCATGTTATATATTTATATATATATGCATGGGGAAACCTGTCTCGGTTTCACAGTGTTTAAATTACTTTAAAAAACAGCCAGGGCAAAACTTAACTGAAATTTCCCCCTGCTCCTAAAAATTGTCCTTGGGACTGAGAACAAGTATGAAAAACTTTATCTGGAAGGAGAAGTGAACGCATGTGAAAATGGGCATATAATGTTGTTGCCACAATTATAATTCACTGAATGTTGTTACATTTTTAAATATTTAACACGTTATGAATTTGTAATAAGAAATGTTTTAATTTATTAGAAAATACTAATTTAGAATTATCAAGCAAGCTGTAAAGTACTGTTCAGTTTTGGTAATTAGAAACTAAAATGTTCATTGCTCATTAAATTTTTACATCAAATGATGTTTTTTATGGCACTACCATGAAATCAACGGAATTTAAGCAATTTACCAGTTTTGGAGGATGGGGGGAATAGTAGTAATGTATTCTATGTTTTTTGTCTTTTTTTTAAATAACATTGCTAAAATTCTCTGATTTGGTTTCAGAAAGTTGTGGTTCAGAAACTGCATAACCTCTCTGTCTTGATCTCTACAACAATCTGTCTACTAATGAAATATCCCTGTGCTGGCAATTGTAAAACTAATGACCTAATCTACTACAAATGTAAAATAGCTGTTTTAAGAAGCATAAAAACTATGTAGAATTAGAAAACGTTAAATAAAATCATTCAGATTTTACTTAATTTAGAAAGTGTTTTGTAACATTACATGAAATGTAACACTGTTTTAAAATACCTCAGCACCTTTTGAACCATATTGCATGACTTGTAATTTTATCATTTCATTCTTAATATAGCAAACATTCTTTAAACTTGAACCTATTTTGCCTTAACAATTAAAATTTACTACACACTTTTTTTTTTTTTAAATCCTTGTTTGATTTCAGACTATATTCACTTAAATAGAACAGTAGTGGTTGAGTTGTAGCTGACTTTTTTGTCACTTTGGGAAATTTGGTTAATCATTGTGACTTTAAGTGATTAAAAGTCAATACACTTGATCCTCAAGAGCCGTAAGGCATGTGAATCTGGCCATTAACCACTTTGGCTACTGAGCAAATTGTGCCATTCATGAATAGCTAGTGTTTCAGGGTAGGAAACCTGCTTCCTTCCAACCCATCTTGTATATGTTTTTAGCTAAATACTGCCTAGCATCAAACAATACTTCTCAGCAAACGTAGATAAGCTAGTCAAAGATCAACCAGGAATTCCTGTTGCTGCAGCTAACAGTCAGTCCAGCAAACTCTAGATTCCGGCTAGGATTTGGGATATAAACACCTTTATTGACATTGATGGCTACCAAAGAGCAGGGGTTCCCGAAGTTTCACCCCTGAAAGGCTGTTTCAAAGGGGCAGTCCTGGTGGAACTAGCCTGATTGGAAATTCAGACACATTTCCTGCGTGTTTCGTAATACCATATGAATGGTTTTTCTATTCAAAAGCATGTACATATGTGAGAGAGCCTTCTCTGCAGTCAATATAAACCAGTTAAAGCTGACAGATCATCCTCACGCTGATCATTCCTTGGAAATCTCAGAACAGCAGACTCCCTATGCCTGAAGAAGGGTGATTGCACCCCAAAGCTTGCAAAGAACGTTTTTCCAACTACTCAGTTGGGATAATAAAAGATATATTTACCCAAAGAACCTCGCCTGCCTACATCCTCATGAAGTTTTCCTATTGCAATGCCAATCATTTAAACCAAGATTGCAGCATGTGATATTTGAAAAAAAAAAAGTATAAACCTCACCCTACAAAAAATGAATACTGGGCTTTTCTCCTTTTTTTCCAACGGAATGCATTTGTATATCATTTCCATAGTGCTTTTTATTTGATTTAAGTTTTTAGTACCTGGCAGACTTAAAGCTTCATTTGTTCTCATGTGACTACAAAGTTGTTGAGTGCCCCTTGTGAGGTGCCTGAATACTTTCAGCTGCCTGCAGTGAGTGGTGTGCATTGATACATCCCAGCATTTAGCACAGTCCTGTAACATGTCCCTAAAGGAGACTGTAATATTCTTTCAGTACAGTCTTCCTGCACTTTATTTACATGTGCCTATCAAAGATGTATCTTTCTGCCATTACATCATAATGCATGAAGGATTTATTACTTCTCAGATGCAGTCATCCTCTCCCAAGTCTTACAATTGTGCTGTGCTCTGCATTGCCCAAGTACTTTTGGTCCCACATAATAAAGTGTTATATGCCCTATAAAAAGGTTAATTCCCACGCTAGGTTGGCTGGTGAACAGATGGTTCTCTTCCCTCCCCTCTAGCCAGCTCCTCTTTTCTTCACTTCTATTTTCTTTTGGGTAAGGAGTGAGAGCATTTAAAACCACTACTCTGATACTATCTGACAAACCTGCGATTAGAAATCATCAGTTACCACGAAGCTCAACTCCCTATCTCTTATCAATGTGATAAGGTCAGATCTTGAGATGCACTGAGCACTTGCAGCTTTGTCTTCAGCGAGATTTGAAATTCATAGCATTTAGAACAGACCTATGCAATTTTAATATCTTACTAATTTTTTAAATGTTGACTGTGCTGCAAGCATTTCAAGAACTTCTGAGCAACTACACCCACCTTTTAAACATAAAGGCCAGTAATGTAGTTTGTATCAGTGGTTTAACTTATACTCTT